TACAACAGTATTTACTCAGCAGCACGCTGTGAACATGTGTTTAAACGAGGCAAGGGCAAAAAGATTTGGATGCTGCCACTTCGGAAACTGCAGCCTTATTGAAGTGTTTCACAACATAATGACAACAATGCTGGCTTTTGTGGGTTCTTTTCACTGGCAGGACTTGTTAAAATGTATAATCTTGGCTTCTTTGCTTTTATTCTCTTTGAAATGCTGTGTTTCAGTATTTTCAAAATCTTAGGTTTCAGTAAACACAGGCTGAGTAGCTGCATGGAAATGTTATGTCACCTGGAGTGTGTAAAAACACGCTGATTTGGAGTTACAAGACTGCAAGTTTTGATGCATAAAAACCAAACAAATGGGGAGGGGGAAATTTTTGTTCTGCCACAAGTCCTAAGGATGATCTTGCCGTTCCAGTTGAGCCTGGTTACAAAACTGAGAGTGCTGGAGTTTCCTGGTGGGGGAATCCCCTCTCACCACTGGGCAGTTCTAAGATACCTGTTCTCTGTTCCTGCTCTCGGTTTCTGTCGTTGCTGCGGTTGAGAGCTGGTGCAGCTGTGCCCTGTCCTGCTTGAACACCCTGTGGGCACCATGGAAGAACTGAGCACTGAGGTCTCATGGAGCTCAGCCTTGGTTTCTCTTTCGTTTCAGGCTTCAAAATGGTTCAGAAAGGCATTTATCACAAATCCTAGAATGTCTTAGGCTGTAAGGGACCTCAGAGATCATCTAACCCAACCCCCTGCCATGAGCAGGGATGCCCTTAACCAGCCCAGATTGCTCAGGGCCTCATCCAACCTGGCCTTGGACATCTCCAGGAAGGGGGCAGCCACAGCGTCTCTGGGCAATCTGTTCCCTCAGACTGAAGAATTTCTTCATAAGATCCAAGCCAAATCTTTTCTCCCTCAACTTAAATGCATTTCCCCTTGTCCTGTTGGTGGACACTCTTGTTTATGAGAAGCTGGCATCACCGGTGTTGCAGAGGTCGGTGGCCCAATGCCTGGTGGGTGGCCCAGCCTGTTGGTAGCCAGTGCTGGAGAGCAAGGCCAGTGAGCTGATGCTCCAGGGGACACTGTGAGCTGCAGGAGGCCCTAGTGAGAGGGTTTGGCTGTCTTTCGTGCTATGAGGAGACCCCAGTTATCCACAGCTGCCGGGGCTGATCCTGCACTCCCTTCTCCCACTGGTGGTTCGGAGCAAGCAGGGACCTGTGGCAGAGCCACACAGCCCCGCTCTGCATCTCCTCCTGCACCCGGAAGTCTCCGTGCGATGAGCCTGAGCACCTGCAGTGGAGAGGAGGTTAATTTAAACAATATCCAGGATGCTTCCACTCTTCTCAGGAGTATACGTGAGTGTGTTTCGTAATTCTCTCCTGAGAGCGAGCTCTGGCAGTATCAGCTTCGTTGCAGAAACCTTGACAAAATTAATCAGGACTGGTACATGGGCTGACACAGTTTGTTTTACTAAGTCCCGCTCCCTTCACCGAGATGAAGGTGTAATACTGTAAGCACTTAACGGCTCCCGTGTTCAATTAATTCCCCGCGCGGCAAAGAGGAATTGCACCAGGGTGACCGCACCGAGCTGAGACCAGTGGCAGAGGAGCTTGGAGGAGAGACGCTGTGATTGGCAAGTGGCAGGGAGAAAGGATGCTGGGGCTGGAGATGATTCTGGTGGAGAATAAAGAGAAGGGGAAGGCTCCGGGGCTTGGCACAGGTGGTCTCTGTGTGGTGAGTGCGTGTTGTCTCCACACTGGGGGCGGTGGCGGAGCCAGAAGCAGGGCTCAGCCCCCAGCAGCCTTTCCCTGCTCTGCCCCTGTGGGGACCCAGACCCAGTCCCGGCCCCGCGCCCACCTGCGGTGACTGGGCCCGAGGAGCAGGGCATACCCCGGGAATGTGCTGGGGCGTGGGCACACACCCTGGCACTCACTGGCCCTCAAAGTGTTTCCCTCTTGAAGCCAGGAGAGGAGGTGCAGAAGTGGGCATCTTTTTCCTTTCCTTCTTTACTTCTTTTTTCCTTTATTTTTTCTTTTCCCTTTTTTTCACTCATTTTCTCTTTTAACTTTTTTCTTTCCATTTTTCTTTTTCCTTCCTTCTTTCTTCTTATTTTCCTTTTTCCTTTTTTCTTTTTCCATTTTCCTTTTTTCTTTCTTTTTTCCTTTTTTCCATTTTCCTTTTTTCTTTCTTTTTTCCTTTTTTCTTTTTCCTTTTTTCTTTCTTTTTTCCTTTTTTCTTTTTCCTTTTTCCTTTTTCCTTTTGTCTTTTGCCTTTTTTCTTTTTCTTTTTTCTTTTTCCTTTTTTCTTATTTTTTCCTTTTTCTTTTCTTTTTTCTTTTTTCTTTTTTCTTTTTTCTTTTTTCTTTTTTCTTTTTTCTTTTTTCTTTTTTCTTTTTTCTTTTTTCTTTTTTCTTTTTTCTTTTTTCTTTTTTCTTTTTTCTTTTTTCTTTTTTCTTTTTTCTTTTTTCTTTTTTCTTTTTTCTTTTTTCTTTTTTCTTTTTTCTTTTTTCTTTTTTCTTTTTTCTTTTTTCTTTTTTCTTTTTTCTTTTTTCTTTTTCCTTTTTCTTTTCCCTTTCCTTTTCCTTTTCCCTTTTTCCTTTTTTTCTTTTATTTCCTTTTTCCTTTTTTTCCCCTTTTTTATTGTTCTCTTTTTTCCTTTATTCCTCCCCGCACTGTGCTGCAAATGACCCTCCAGCAGCAGAGCAGCAGGACACTGGCCGAGGCGCAGGATGTCGTGGGATGCACACACTGCTCTCCCGCTCTTGGTCCATCACCGTTGCGCACCAGCGCGGCTCCAGCCCGGCACGCGCCCTGAGCGCAGGGAGCAGCAACTCTGCCTAATGAAGAAAAACGATTCAATTTCGTGCTGGCTTGTTGCTATAACTCCTTTCCCATTTTTGCTCGTCACGTTCGGCTCGGTGCTGCTCGTGGTGCGTTTGTCCTGTTCGTGGGGGCCCCCGCACGCTGGCCGATAGGGTTTGCCTCTGCCGTCGTGCGGGGCCTTGGAGCCCGTTAGTTGGGGTGAGATCCAGTTCCACTGAGTGTTTCTGTTAAAAGATTAGAGAACAAGTAGGAGCCAGAAATGACCATGTCAAGAAATAAATTGAAGCTGGTATGAATTAGAAAGGAAAGACGACAGGAGGACGGACAAGTCTGTTCTGGATGGGGGCATGGTGACAGGGAGGAAGAGTGAGTGCTTTGTGATGTGATGTTTTCATTTTTCACTGTAAATGCAAGCTGCTTTGATTTCACTGCTGAAAGGCAATTGGGAAAAAAAAATCAGACTTGAGAGAAGTTTAAAGCCTTTGGAAAGCTTGAGAGAAATATTGGGCTTTGGTAGTTGTCTGAATCTTTGGAAAGAGGGAGGGGGAAAGTGAAGACCCCAACCTCAAAAAGACCTGGCTTTGCTGCTGCCAGTGCTTTGCTGAGGGGTCCACAGGCCCCACTGAGGTCTGGTGGCACCACCTTCTCCTGGTGGAGCCTGCTCCTCAGCCTCACTGAAGCTGCAGAGGTTAACCCCTGTATGACAAGTCTTGTCCCTGGCTGTGAACACCCTCAGCTCTGTCTGCCAGGCTGCTGTCCCAGGCGAGGTCAAGGCTCAGGATGGCTGGTGGCTCTCAGCCGAGGTCACTCATGAGGCCAGACCCTGCAGCTTAGCCTACTCCTGAGCTGTTCGTCCCGTAGGTTTTTAATTGCTCGTCCAAGCCTTCCTGGGGGTCTCAGACAGATATGTCTAATAGCGAGTCCTGCTAAAGGTCTTCTTTCACGCTTCAGCATGTCTTACATCTTGTGCTTGTGCAACCGTTGGTAACATGGAGACCAAACCTTGAAAAAATTTTTGCCCAACTCTTCTCTTAGACTGAATCAGAGTTGGTTTCATTGTCAGTGCATGCAGAAAGTATTTGATAGCTGGTGCTGTCTGTGTGGATTGGCACGTCTCCAGGTACACCTGAAGTCAAAGACTCATCCAAGCACACGGTCCAGGTTCCGGGTGATCCTTTGATGATCACCCAGTCTTACCAGCTGCAGGGCAGAAAAGTCATTGCTGCTATTCTGCTAGATGAGTGTCTCAGCTTTCATCAAGCTGCAAAGCTTTAAGCCTCACCTGCGTGGTTTGTTCGGATGTGTAACACATGCACTCAGTTGGAAAATAGAGCATAAATTTGTTCCGTTTGAGGCTTAAGTGTTCATTTCAAAAGCTGTGATATGGAGCATCAGGTACTTCCTTGGATGAGGCATCATCCACTGGAGGTAGTTTTAAGATTCTGTCTGAATTTATTGCCAAGTGAAGGAGACAGTCACCAGTGTTTTCTAAAGATGATTTCTCCCCTCAGTGAGTGTGTTGGATGTTGAAGGACTCCCCTGGCCAGGGAGAGGCCAGCCCAGTGGGATGATCCCAAAGCAGATGTGGCAAAAACTTGGTATTTCTTTCTAGAGCTGAGCAAAATGCAGGAAGTTACTTCCTGATAGAAGTAGTTTAAGAAAAGGGGGAGTTGTTGTGTCAAGTGAAATGTGATGAATACTTCTCCTAAAATGGGGAGAAAAATAATTCGGAGAAGTCAAGAGTGTGGTGATATGTTTAGGCTGGAACATTTCAACCTTTCATTCTGAAAAGTAATTAATTTTTTTTTTGTGAAGTAAATGAAACTAAGGTTTTGAGCAGAGGAAGTGAACCAGGCACGCTACAGCTGGCAGAAATGCAAAGCCACAGTAGCAGAACACATGGATCCGACTTTTTTATTATTTATTATTATTATTCTAATTACCCATCCTGTATTGCTGAGTGAGTCTGATCCTGGGCTGGGGAGCTCTCTGCCCAGGATGCCACGAGCTGGCATTTTTCCACCTTTGTCTTCCTCACACCCTGTCTCTCCTCTTTCCTCCTCTTGCAGGCTCCCCGTACTACTACAGCGCCGCAGCCCGTGGGGCAGCCCCCCGGGCCCCCGCGGCTCCCTACGACCGACACTGACCCCCACCATGAGCCACTGCCGCGCCGGCCACACCGCGAGGGAGTGACGAGGGACTAACGAGTAGGGCCATGCGGATTGAGATTTCTATTTTTTTTTACCTTGTTTTTTTTATTATTTTTTTTTGCTCGTTGAACTTGGCGAATGGATCATTGTTGTCATGTTCTTAAGTCTGGTCGTGTTGACTGGCTCTCAGATCAAACAAAGAAGAGTGAGGAAGCGGTTCTCCTGATGCTCTGTGGTGGAAAATGCGCAGTAGCTTCATGTCTTTTGCAGCCGGCTAGGTACTGCTTTAATCGCCTGTAGGTGCCACGGCTGTATCTGGGGATAAGGAAGAGGTGTGAGCAGCCCCCCGTGGGGCAGCTTCCTCTTGCTGCACACTGAAACAGGCTGTGAGACTCAAGGCAATTTATTTTTATTTTTATTTTTTTTAATTTCTGGTGGCAAAGAAAAAAAACAAAAATCAGTCTGCTCAATTTTACACAAGCACCACTGTAAATACTTCGCTTGTTTGTATTACTATAAGAGTGGCTTAAGCATAGGGAGCAACATTGTACAAATCTGAACTCCAAACGCGTCTGAAAAACGTGTTTTGAAACTGGTGCACTGATTCAAAGAATTCAGTAAGCTTTAAGCAACTTTGAACCAGGTTAACACTCATTGTGGCTATATTTTGGGCTGATGTTATTTCTGTATAGAGCATCCAGTGTGTGATCATGCTACATGTGTGTGATCATGCTATGTGCTGATATCAAACACACGAACACCCGAATGACATGGGCAGTTTCGTGACACTTTACTGCTTAGTATTAATTTACATTGATTTGTCATCATAATGAGCACTTGAACAAATTCTCTAGTTTCAAGTTAAGCAGCATCCAAGAAGGAATCCCTAAATAATAGCTGACACCTTATGTACATCTCAATAGGTTGTGTGCTAAATCCCAGTTATGAGCACTCTGAGAGAAATGGGGAGAAATACCACAGTGACGATTTGGGTGAACGGGAGCACCGAGCGGTTAGTGCTGGCCATGGGCACTTTCCAAGGCAAAGCCAAGGGGAAGGAGTTCATTTTGGAGTGGGTCTGCGCACTTCGGTGAAGGCTTTTCAAATTCCAGACCTGCCCCGCGTGGGATTTTTGCCCCGTTAATTCCACATTTCTTCCTTTTGGCTTGGAGAGGGAGTGCTAATGGCAACATGTTCCTTCTGTGTGTGGGTCTGGGGGCTAATGAAGAGAGGAGAGCGACTGCGAGGGACCCGCTGAGCATCTACACCAATCACTGCCACTTTGTGGAGCCAGGAGAAGTGCTAGTTTCTCCCTTCAGCCTCTCCCTGCCCCAACTTCATGTCATGTATGGACAATGGTCATGACCCCATCCCCTTCTCCTGAGGGCAGTGGAGAAGCTCCCTGGCCCTGGTGAGATGAGGATCTGGCTGTAGGCTCCTTACTCTCAACCCGATGATCCTCATCATCCACCTGGAGCAGCCCACGCGCTGCAGAGGAGTCGTGTTGGCACTTGCCCATGTGTGTCCCAAGGCTGAAGAAGGGTTGTTGGCATTGAAACTGAGATGCAATCCCACGGATGAAGATTCAAGTACAAATACTTTCTCTGAAGTGGCAGCAGCTTGGGAGTTAAAATTCTTCTTTCTCCTTCCTCCCCACCTCATCACTTGTGCTGCATGTCCCCCTGGAGCAAGGCCACTGACCTGTTGAGAATTTCCTTCTCCCAACACCAGTGGCACCTTCTTACACTATGGAAAGGCAGCCATCACTTGCAGACTTCCAGGGCAGATGTGTTCAAATCCTCAAAAGCCGTGAAGGCATCCAGGCCCCCACCAGCTCAATGGCATTTTGTTGAGATGTTCACAGAGCCCATCACAGAAACTTGGCTGGAGTCCTTCAAACTGTGTCCTGAACCCAGAAGAAAGTTTTTTGAAAAACTTACCGGTGAGAAAAGTCCTGCTTTTAGTCTTTCTGCAATTAACAGCTAACACACCCTCAGTTTTAACTGAAGACAAATAACAGCATGGACAGTTTATAGAGGGAACCTTCTGAAGCGTTGCTTTGGTGTCGTCCCTTTCTGAGCACCCCATCACTGCTTGCACCCTGCTGTCAGAGCTGCAAAGGGCTTTTCTGTCCCTGGGTGCGGCTTGCATGGGGACTCCACACCAGCCCCTGTCAGCACCCTGAGCATACACATCTTGTCTGTGAGCACGGGAAGGGAGGAGGTCAGTGCCTTGGCTGAAGAGAAGAGGAATGAAGGTTTGACCACAGGCAATGAGGGTACAGGTGATGGCTTCAGAGCAGAGGTGGGCTGAGCTATGCCAGCTTCAGAGACATCGCCCACTTGGTAACCAGGCTGATCTAAAATGAGTCTGTCTACCCAGTGAGCGAACATCATCTTCCATTGACGGCATGTGGGTCCTTCACTCACTCTGCCTACTTCCCTGCAAACACATTTATTTTATTTATTTCCTCAGTGGCACAGTTTGTGTGACGTACACAAATTCAGATAAGATTGAGAAGACCAAACCTGAGACTTTGGCAGATGTCAGAACATTCAAGCTGGTGATGTTCGTGGTTGGGCTGGGGACTTGGCACGGGCACGGCGGGTGTATTTCCCCCGAAGGATGCGTATAGGCTGCTGGATGAAGTGACCTGAGGTGCGCAAGCTTGGCTGACCCTAAGGCTTTCATCAGGACATCCCTCAGCCAGAGCCATCGTGCTGGGCTTGATGGTGGGCTCCATCCCATCATCTGGGTGTGCAGGCAGGGACAGTGTGGGTGCGCTGGCGAGGTCCTGACTGGAGCCACAGAGGAGAAAACCCAGTCTCCCACCCTCGCACGTACAAGGTGGGCACCTGTGCACAGCCTATCTCCCACAGCGTGGCAGCCACGGCTCACTCATATCTGCTGGGGCTGCCTCTTTTTTTTGGAGTCGTGCTTCTGGAAAAGACACTTCTTGACAATACTTTCTAGTTTTGAGAATATTTCACCGGGGGTTTGCAAACTGCTTTCCTCAGGAGGTCTGTCCATAGTCTTCATTGAGGGAACTCTGCTCCTCCAGGAGTGTTGGTGGAAGGTGATTCTCTGGGGCTTGTGGAGAGTCGTCTCTTGTCACCTCCTCCACTACGTGGCCCCTCCTTTTCGTGGGTGAGGTGGAGCTGGAAGCAAATGACCTGTTGGGGCTGGTAGGAGGGGAGAGAGTGAACCAGCACAGGGGTTTGGGATGGCCCAAGGTGCAGAGCATTGCTGCTAGACCAGTGCAGTAGGTCAGCCCCATGGAGTGCCCCTGCAGGGCAGTTCCATCACCGAGCTCTGTGATACGCTTGACTTGGCGGAGGGTTTTCCGGTAGCAGTGGTAAATTCAGTCAAGTGCAGGCTGAGAAGTGAAATTGGAGAGACAGAGAAACACTGCCGTGAGACTAATAAACCGATGCTGTGGGCCAGGGCTATACGGGACTGACTTCTTGAGGAAACCCTCAGTCAAACACTGTGGGAGTGTGACTGTAAAGAAGGTGTAGAATGCTGCGGGCACTGAGTTTGCCTGGCACTTGTGTGGGGAAGTCCAGCTAGCCAGGCACCATGTCATCGGGCAGCTCCACTGACCGCAGAGCTCAGGATATCTCGGGGCTGGATCCACAGACAGAAAGTTTTGTTCACTCTCAGATCAGAAGAACGTTCCTAGCTTGGGGAGCATGGGGCCGGAGAGTGTGTGTTGATGCAGAGACCTCCAAGCAGCGTGCTGATTGTGCTGGCGCCAGGACAGCCTCGGTGCCAGAGGTGCCTGGGAAAGAGACAGTGGGGGAAGAAACAGCTCCAGAGAAAGACAAGAGGATAAATGAGGAAGAAGAAACAGGAGGTTTTCAGAAGAAAGCTTGTCTGGCGAGGGAGAGATAGTTGGTGGAGCTCACAGCAGCGAGTGCTGGAGCGCCGGGCACCCCTCCTGGGGGCCAGGGCTTGCTCTGCCTGTCAGCTTGCTCTGCTGTGCCCAGTCTTACCTGATGGGATTGCATTCCTGTTCTTATTTTCTTTAATTTACGTATTCTGCACGTCCTTCAGCATGGAGGAGAGAGGGAGCCACGTTTACGGTGTCACTTCTTTCCGACCACAAAGCTTCCAAGCGCTGTGGCCTGTGGTGGAGTCAACGCACGTGGCTGCCGCCTGGCCACGACCTTGCGCTGACCCACCCTGAGACTCTGTCCCAGCAAACGTTGGGGAAAAACCTGCTTCTTTTTCTTCTGGATTCATTGAGAAACTGACATTAAGAGGGCCAGCAGCTCTTGGGGCAGCATCCCTGGAGACGCCGCTTGGGGAGCCCCACTGCGTCCCTCAGACCAAAACCCGCCTCCCGTTGGAGGCACGCATCACCGCAGTGTGAGGAACGGTGAGATCCGGGAGGATCTCAACCTGTCAGCATTGATTTTCTGGTGGAGTTAATGAGATTTGATGCACTAACACTGAGCGAAAAGTGCACCCAGCGAGTGCGGGGCGCTGTGGCCGCGGCTCATCGGTCCCACGGGGAGGGCACCAGGCGGGAGCCACGCAGACGCGCAGGGATGGACATGTGGGGAGTCCCCAAGGGGGTCACAGAGGGGTGGACCCAAGCTCAGCTGGACTCCCATGCCAAGGGTCTCTGCCCCGTTGAAGCAAGACGGGTGAAAGGTCCGTTGGCAGCATCCAGACCTGCCTTTTCGCTGAGCTCAGCCTCGGGTGGGAAGAAACCTTGTCCTGTTTTTTTTTTCACTTTCTAGTGGCCTTTGTACATTCTGAAATTAACAGAAAATCATTTCATTGCAAATGGAATTCCTTTCCAAGCGGAAAATAAAAAAAAGAACAGGCTTTTTTTTTTTCTTAGAGACAAACTACTTTATATTAGGGACTTCTAGCATCAAAGAAATACATATCTATTGTATCCACCAAAGTCTGCAATGCCTGAATTGAAGCTTACTTCTTAAAAAAGAGAGGGAAAAGAAAAGAGAGGGAGAGAAATAAAAGGCTT